CTCAATATTAAGTTGCATGTTGCTTGGTAAAAGGTTTGTAGGACCTATTTTAGATAGCATTTGTAGATTATTAAAAAAACCACAGTGTTAGTCACTCTGTTGTGTTCGACTCTCTGTAACCTCATGGACTCTAGCCCACTGGCTCCTCTGTCCATGAAATTCTCCAGGGACTTCTGGTGGTCCAGTGCTTAAACCTCTGTTTACACTGCAGGGGGTGTAGGTTCCATCCCTGTTTGGGGAATGAAGATCCTGCATGCCACACTGTGCAGCCAAAAAATAACAAAAGTTATTTACAGAAAAAGTTCAGAGAGGCTTACCATGTGTAATAGTAAATCTATTTTTTAAACTAATACTAAATACATGTATGGCAGGTTTTAGACGTTCCTTTCATAAAGTTTTCTTACAGTTTGACACCTTTAAATAGGATACATTATGAAAATCTGTCAAGTATTTGAAGACATTGATATTCTTTTTATGACAGATATGGGCTTTTGTGTCAACTTAAAATTTCTACATGTGTTGAATTGCTGTGTCAAGAAATGTGTTAGGTGATCAGGATACATCAGAACAATGATCTTTTTGCCCTCTTGAGGAGCTTACATTGTCTAGGAATGGGAACAAAAATAAGCAGTAGGCATTATAAATTATTCATTATGTTAGGAGGTAATACTGATACATGCTATGAGGAAAATTAAGGGAAATTCGTGGTTGCAGTTTTAGAGTGATTATGAAAGTCTTCATTGAAATGACATTTGAGCAAAGATGAAGAGAGTGATTGGGATGACTTAGAGATTATAATATAGATGATAAGACAGCAAGGGTAGAATCAGGGAGGCAAGTTAGAAGGCCATGGTGGTAATGAAGCAGAGAGAGATGAACAGAATATAGATGTAAATTGAAGGCATAACTGATGGGATTTCTTGATTCAACTTGTGGTTTGAGTACTGGAAAGCGAGTCAAAGTTTCATGCAAGGCAGGCATGCTTCTAAACACTTCCCATCCTGGGGTAAGAGTGCAATGGAGACACCAATGATTTAAGATACTTAAAGTTTTGTTCATTGAAAATATGTCCCATGCTACCGTTTTGCCAAATACACCTTCATAAGTATATGTAGAAGGCCAGGTTTGAATTTCAGATCGTTAAAAGTCCTGTGCCAGAACCTTCCTTACAAGCAACCTGGTCCTCTGCCTGTGTCCCACCTTCCTTCTCCCATCCCTGCCTCTGATTTGTATGGCAGGGGGGCCTCATGCACATTTGTGTGAACAACTTAGCCTGCATGCTCAAAATCTGTCCACTTCCCTCACACACCAGTGCACACAACAGTGATAGAAATCGCCGAGGTCATTTCGACAGGGTGTTTGTAATCCTGAGTACCTGGAGCGTAGTCTAGTGCGAATATGAGTTCCAGATAGATGTGTGGTATTGGTTCTTCAAAGCTCAGACCTTCTCAGTTTGTTTTAAGGGCAGCACCACTCCATGGGTTTTGGCTTGAGCAGCTATGCAGATAGAATTGCTGTGTACTGAGAAGGGATTGTAGGTAGGTGGAACAGGTCAGGGGGAGGAGATATGCACATATTTGAGGTCTCGTTAGACACCCAATAGTAGAGGGAAAAAGGAAAAATTCAATTTACAGTAACTGTGGCCTGGAATATATAAAAACTGAAGGGGATTTTTCACTGTAGGTATACTAACCAGCGAAATCTCTTAAAAAAACACGAACTTTAAATGACTCCAGACCCTTACTGAACTGATTCTGTTTTGAGTCAGTTTTATGATTATGATTTGAATCAGAATTATGATTAATACACAAGCCTATGGACAATCAAGCCAATTGTATATAAGCCTATGGACTCCATCCTATCCAGCACACTATCTTATTTTTTTAGCAAAAGCTCTAGGAACTCTGCTTTCTATGACCAATAATCCCCTCAGACTTTTCCCTCTAACTACTCACCAGTAGTCTTCACCAGTATGTCTTCCCTTGCCCAGGGTGTTGCCTTTTTTTTTTTTTGGTTAACTTTGGCAATATTTTTTGTTTTATTCTTTGGTAACAAGCAGTTGGATATAATCTGGGAGTCTTGGGCATACAGACGTTATTGAGAATAAGACTGGATGAGATCAACATGGGAGTGGGTGTAGAACCACGTGCTGAGCTTCTGGGCAGTCATATTAAAAGACTGGGAAGAGGAGGAAGCTAAGGAGGAGACAGATCATGTGACGAGGGAGGGAGAGAGAAAGCAGAGTGATATCCCTGAAGCCAGTAAAGAGCTGTTTTCTAGGGCAGAAGGTGACCAGCTCTGTCAGATGCTGCCGATAGAACACTTGATGCAGTTGAATGTAATATCCATTTTGACTTGGCCGTTTCAGACTTCTTTACCAGAGCAGTGAATTACTTAGCTTTCTAAACTTCAATAATTTTTAAGTGGCATTTGTAGGTTTTCATTATACACACCTGAAGTTGTGAGGGAGGGGAAGGGGGACAGTTATTTCCTGTTATTCATTTTCTGTGAAACAAGTTGTCTTTAAAAATGGTAATATGTCCATTTTTATGAGTTGGTGATGGCTGGTGAAACTGAGTGAAGTTAATGAAGATTTCTGTATTATGTTACTGAGATTTCCAATTATCAGTTGCACTGTGTGGTTGGAAAGCTCCCCAAGTGGCACAGCAGTAAAGAACATGCCTGCCAATGCAAGGGACGCAGGTTCAATCCCCTGCAGGAGGAAACGGCACCCCACTCCAGAATTCTTGCCTGGAGAATCCCATGGACGGAGGAGCCTGGTCCATGGGGTTGCAAAGACTGCAGCCACGACTGAGCACACTCGCACGTGGTTGGAGAAGGCAAACTACTTCCAAATTGTTCACTAAGTTGTCAAATAGCCAACTGGAAATTCTGAGTTTTAAAGTCTCTAGTGCTTTTGAAAATTATGCTATTTGGTTAGACCTTTTTAAGTAACTGAGATAGAATGCATTTGCTGCATCCCTAGTGGCTCAGATGGTAACGCATCTGTCTGCGATGCAGGAGACCTGGGTTCGATCCCTGGGTTGGGAAGATCCTCTGGAGAAGGAGATGGCAACTCACTCCAGTATTCTTGCCTGGAAAATCCCATGAATGGAGGAGCCTGGTAGGCTACAGTCCACGGGGTCGCAAAGAGTCAGACACAACTGAGCAACTTCACTTCTTTTTTTAAAAAATAAACTGCAGGTTAGATAACACCAAAACATTAAGTTTCTCTTAAGAAAATGGCTTGGGTTGCCAGAATATGTCTTACTTTTAGCCAGTCAATTTTGTATTATATAATTTTTCCATATGAAATGTCTTTCCCCACTACACCTGCCTCAGAGACTCTGAATCACACATTTAAAGGAAGCATCCTTTCTAAAGGAGCTGAAGAATGGCATTCTGTTAAAAAGAGGAACAGCTGGTCATGTGGAAATTCGTTGGAATGCTCACTTGTCCTACAAAGCCAGGGGAAAAACTGAGATATCAGGTGTAGTGTTTGTCATTGTTATACAGAATTGTTTTAATGTAACCTTACTAGAGATCTTTACATGATTTTAATCGCCTTTCTCCTTCCAAGACTGCTCATCTGTCAACCATGTGAAGGCCCTGAGAACAGCTAAGTGCAGTTCAGTGGGTCTCAAGACTCTGCTGGAATTGTTTTCTGTGCTGAAACATTGTTCCTTTCATCAAGATTCAGGACCCTCCCGTGATTAAAAGTTATCCTTTGTTCTCGATTACCTTGGGATGAACCTCGAATTTCTTAAGCATGACACAAAGAATTTGACTCTTGCGGGGCTCCCCAAGCTCATCTGTCACTCCTTCCCCCTTGAATTCTTTGTTCCAGCCAGATGACAGACACTACAGATGAACTCAGCTCTCCTTTCTTCCTTCTTGAACACAAGTAGCAGCCTTTCCTCTTACCCTGGCCAACTCTGATTTGTCCACCCCTCATTTCCTTCGTGTAATTCTTCATATTTTTCAGGGTGGGTACATAGTTGGGATTCTCTAATACACTTCCGTAAGAGGTTTGGTTTCGGTTTATGCTCTTTAACCTGCTTTGTTTCCCAGAATTTCTATAGAAATTGCTTAAATGGAGTAGGAGGGAGCTAGGGGCGAGCACAGAATGACCTTCCCCGGGTGAGATTAGGAGAGATATGACCTGTTGGGCGTTCGCAGAGACGGGTCCGCGGAGGCCAACCTGCTGTTGGGAGGTTAAAGTGCGGGATCTCAGAACCGGATGTTACCCCAATTTGCAGTTACTGTTGGGACATACTGCAGGCTGTACGGATGGGTCTAGTGGGAGCCCAAGGGCGTGTGTCATGTAAGGAGTGCCTGCGCTCCAGGCTCGAAAAAAGGAAGGCGAGATGTCATGGAATTTCCAATGGATCCCCTTCCTCCTATCCACTCCAAAAGGGACAGACGGTTGCTCTAACAATCGTGCTGTCTAAGAAGAGCTGGGTAGTGGCCATGAGCGAATGTCGGTGTAAAGACACCGTGTCCTGTCGCCCTCTGTGCACTAAGATGTCTACGTGGGGTCTGGGGGAGGCACGGGTCGCGGGACTCCGCGGCTTGCGAACCTCAGCCCCAGTTCCTCGCTGGCCCAGGCCTGGACCGGGCTCTGCGAGGTTTCGGAGCACAGCGCGAACCCCCAGGGCTAGTTTCGGAGCGCAGAGGGTCCGCCTGGCGTGCCCGGCAGTCTGGCAGCTGCGCCCACTTGGGCAGTCCCATGCCCTCCCGAGGCTGTTTGCGGAGAGCCCCGCCGGGCGGAGAGGCGCGACGGCTGGGGATGGCCTCTCGGCGCCCTCTGCGTGTCGGCATTCTCCGCCCGGCAGTCGGGGCGCCCTCGGCCGCGGTCCCGGGCGGAGGAGACGCGTTTCCGGGGCTCGCGTCCCGGCCGCCAGCCTGGGGAAGGAGCGCGGAAGCGAGTGGGCGGTGGGAGGCGGAGCGAGGGCCGCGGGGGGCGTGGACGCGGCCGGCTTTGGAAAGGCCCCAAGTGAATGAGGCGCGCGCCGGCGGCAGAGCGCCTCTCCGAGCTGGGCTTTCCCCCGCAGCGCGGGCGCCAGGAGCCGCCTTTTCCGCTGGGTGTCACTCGGGGGTGGGGGGTATGGCCCATTCAAAAGCGCCGCGAGGGGGCCCGGCCAGTGCCCTTCAGTGAGCGCTCGCAAGAGGACGGCAGAGGCCCGGCGGCTCGCAGCTCCGGGACCTTGTGGCGCATCAGGACGCGGCTGCCCTGCTGCCCGGACCCCGAGCCGCCGCCGCCGCCGCCGCCGCTCTGCTTTCTGCGCGTTAGCCTCCTCTGCGCGCTCCGGCCCGGAGGCCGCGGGAGCCGTTGGGGAGAGGACGGCGCGCGGCTGCTGCTGCTGCCCCCGACCCGGGCGGCTGGAAGTGGAGAGGCCGAGCCGAGCGGCGGCGCCCCCTATGCCGGGAGGATGTTGGAGAGCAGCGGCTGCAAGGCGCTGAAGGAGGGGGTGTTGGAGAAGCGCAGCGACGGGCTGCTGCAGCTCTGGAAGAAAAAGTGCTGCATCCTCACCGAGGAGGGGCTGCTGCTCATCCCGCCCAAACAGCTGCAACACCACCAGCAGCAGCAGCAACAGCCCGGGCAGGGGTCGGTCGAGCCGTCCCAACCCGGAGGCCCCGCCGTGGCCGGCCTCGAGCCGCCGGTCAAGCTCAAGGAATTGCACTTTTCCAACATGAAGACCGTGGACTGCGTGGAGCGCAAGGGCAAGTACATGTACTTCACCGTGGTGATGGCTGAGGGCAAGGAGATCGACTTTCGGTGCCCGCAGGACCAGGGCTGGAACGCGGAGATCACGTTGCAGATGGTGCAGTACAAGAATCGCCAGGCCATCCTGGCGGTCAAGTCCACGCGACAGAAGCAACAGCACTTGGTCCAGCAACAGCCTCCGCAGCCGCAGCCGCTTCAGCCCCAAAGCCAAGCCCAGCCGCAGCCTCCGTCCCAAGCCCAGCCGCAGCCCCAGCCCAAGCCGCAGCCGCTTCATCCATACCCGCATTCGCATCCGCACCCGCACCCGCACGCGCACCCACTGCCGCACCCGCATCCACCGCCGCTCTCGCAGGCGCACGGCCACCGGCTCCTCCGCAGCACCTCCAACTCGGCCTGAAGAGGGCAGCACCCGGCCCGGACGCGGTAAGGTCGGCGCGGGTCCGGGGAGCGGGTCCTGGGGGGTGTCGGGAGCAGGAAGTCTGCTCACGGCTTCGGCTCTTGGGTGGAAAGGGAGAAGTGAACCTAGGTTCCCGGGAGGTGGAGAGAAGGGCCCAGGCTTCAGCCAGCAAAGGCCGGCGGGGAGGGCAGGCTGAGGGATGCGCGCTGGACAGGAAGGGGTCCGCAGCGCCGCCCGCCCCGCCGGCCCGCCCGTGTCCGGGGTGCTCGCCGCCGGCCGTCTCCTGGCGCTCTCGGCGCCGCTGGACTGTCTGGGCGCTCGAGGGAGCGACCCCGTGTTCGTCTGAGCTCCTTTGTACGCGGGACAGGCGCCAAGAGAGCTGGGTCTGGTAGGAGTCCGAGCTTCTCACTTCCGTTCGTGTCATTTCTTTCCAGGTTTTGGGGACTTGAGGAAGCGGGACGAGCACCTTTCTATTGTCTTCACTGGATCGAGAACAAGTCTCCCCGCCGCGCACCAAATCAAGTAGTTTGAACAGAACCCGACTGATAACTCGTGATTCCACTTATTTTCTGCATACTCTTCTTCACAATGCAGGAAAGATTTTGAGTCCAGAAGGCTTTATTTATGAACCTTTGAGAGGATCTTCCAGTATGGTGGACCTTCTAGGAGGGATGATGTACTATAATTTTATTTTAATGTATTTTGACTCATTATTTATTAGTTTTTTTTTTTAATGCTTGTTCTGAGACATTTCTGAATGTAGGCCATTTTCCAGAAAAGAAACTTTATTTTCGAAAACCTGTCCTTAGTAAGTTGTAGTCTTGGGAAAGAAGAAAGAAAAAAGGCGGTACAGAGGAACACAAGAATTTATTCATTATTCCTAGGGCATTTTCAGAAGGTCTGACACTTCATTGTTATACCAGGTGGTTGAAATTAAACTCTGTGATATTATGTGGGGTTTTTGTTCTGTTTTTTTTTTAATTAGTTTTTTTTCTCCTTAGATGTGTATTTTGTGTAGAACTTTTAAAGAAGTTAAATGTTCAGAATGGTGTAAATATAAAAATCTAATTGCTTTTCTAAAAGGAAATCAGTAGTAATGATATCTAATTCAAAATATTTAATACATAACACAGTTGATGGCAAGATGACCGTATCCTGAGTATACAGGAGAACTTGGTCTGCTGTAGGAAAAGCCTTGCTTAGATTGTCTTTGTGTGGAGATTTAATAATGAGTTTTCTATGATTTCAGAGTATGAATGCATTAGATGTTTCATTTCAAAAAACCGGTAGTGGGGGTAAAGACTTATTCCAGTTGTTTGAGAGAACATTTGTGCTCTTATCCACAGTAGAAATTACCCTTCTTCAAGAGCTTGGCAGACTTGATGTGAACCGCATTTCCTGGCATTTCTTCTACTTTGTTCTAGAAGCATATTCTAGAATCTCATAGTTTAAAATACAATTTCTAAATGTTTCAAAGGACTGGGAGTCATAGCTTTTTGGTTTCATTCTAAGAATGTTGACCAGAGACACCAACTGTTTTGCTCTTTATCGCCCAGTGAGAAATCCAAGGGTTATATGTTTTAGTGTTAGGTTAACTAAACTCAGAAATTGAAAAAGGAAGGACTGGATAAACACTGGATTTGCAGTAAGAAAACAACCTAGTCTTGTTTTAGCAGCAAGTTTCAGGAGTCCGGGGGTTGGGACGGTTGGGGGAAGAGGATGTGCTTTTAAAGGTAGAACAAACCCCCTTCTGTGTGAAATGAAAAGGATGGTCAAAATCCACAAGTGCAGATGCTACTTCAGTTTAAAAAAGAGCCATAGATGCTACCAAATCCTCTTGGGGCTGAAAATCACTTCCTATCTTTCATGGGTTTACTAACAGCTCTGTTTTCCATTTTCGTTTTCACAGTCTTGATCAGGATTTTTCCAGCTTCTAAATTGGAATAGTCAGCGTTAGGCCACTGCTAAGTTCTGTAGTCAGGAAGTGAAAATAGAATTTCATGCTAGAGGCACCTTTATTCTCCCTCCATCTAAAAAGGAGTTTGAAGGTCACATTGCTTCTCAGTGTGATATTTAAATGATGAAAATTTGAGATCCAAAGAAGTGGTGAAAAATAAAATTCAACCAAGGGGCAAGCAGAACTTATGTGGGCTCCCACTTCAAGGTGAAGTTGCAGTTGTGGGGGGGCGGGGGGGGATATATATATATATATAATGGGCAGCTCAGAGAGCAGATGTCAAAGAGTTCTTAAGTAAAGTTTGGTTTGATTTCTTTGAAACTACTGCTGTGCTTTTTAATAATACCCCATTGTACTCTCATTTTAATAAATGCAGATCATATGACCCCATTAAACCACAGCTTTTTTCTCAGATGAAAGGATTTTTTTTTTTCAAATTCTTGTGCTATAAAAAAATTTAAATCTATAGCAAATACTTACAAAATTAAGATTCAGGTAGGCTTTTAAAAGGACCTACATGTTGTTAGCTTACAAAAGTGCACCCAGGCTCCCTCCTGGCTGCTGGAAGTTTTTCTTTCTCACAGTGGCTCTGGCTCATAATGTGGCCATCAGAATCATGGTTCCTTGTCTTATCTTTCCATAGCCCTCAGGACTTGCTCTGCTATGATTGGGTTGACTCCTAGTGACTCTCTAGTCTGAATCCTTCTTAGTAACTGTGAAAACTCGGAAGTGAGAAGGGAGAGTATAATAGGGTGGTTTTTATTATATAACTAAGACTTATTATGGCTTAATTATTCCAGAACAACAAAGAAACAAACTAGTGTACTTAACAACACACAACAACACAAAATAATAGGTGCAAATTATTGAATGTGTCAGTGGCTTTGTATTACCTCTATGAAAACAATACAAACCACCTAGGGTATTCTGGATACCCTAGGATCTTCCCAGGTGGCACAGTGGTCAAGAGTCCGCCTGCCAATGCAGGAGATGCAAGAGTCCCTGGGTCTGGAAGATCCCCTGGAGGAGGGCGTGGCAGCCCACTCCAGTATTCTTGCCTGGGGAATCCAAGGACAGAGGGGCCTGGTGGGCTTTAGTCTAGGGGCTCACAAAGAGGGACTGAGCACACACATCTGAAAGGGTTTTCTGAGGCCTGGCAAATCACCTTCATGGAGGAAGATAAAGATACTTCTTTCGACCCAAGAAATGGAAGGAAAGGTCCATTAGAAATAGGTCCAATAGAAAACCTACCTCTTGGATAAACATAAAATGTCAGAAGTTTGGAAATTAAAAGGAATGTTCCTTTTGGAAACAACTTCTTGTCTTTGAACTTGTGTTGGCACGGAGCCTCTTACTTAGTGAGCTCAGTAATATTTGTTGGGACAAATGAATGAAAGAAGGAAAGGCTATCTTACTTCCCAGAACCCAGGAGACAGCTGCTCTGGCCTCACAGAGTGCTTCCTTTGGTTGCTGTCGTGCCATTCCCTGAGGACGACTCACGCTGGGACAGGCCATGCATCATGACATTCCTTGGACGTACTTTCTTAGTGGAGAGCCACACAGATCTGCGTATGCCCGGAGTGCTGATGTCAGAGAGAAAGTGGATATAAAGGGCCCTTTCAAAATGAACATTTCCTTCATAGAGGAAGGGGGGTTCTCTCATGTTAGAAATCAAACCAACTTCATAATTTGGTTTCACATGTTTTTTTCATAGAAGCGAAAGTAAAAAGCAAGTCACTCGGTTGTGTCCGTCTCTGCAACACCATGGACTGGAGCCCACTAGGGTTCCTCTGTCCTTGGAATTCTCCAGCCAAGGATATTGGAGTGAGTTGCCATTTCCTTCTCCAAAACAAAAGCAAAATGAAGCCCAACTTGTTGCTGAGAAGAGTCCCTCTTGGGACTTCCCTGGTGGCCCAGTGGTTGAGACTGCACTTCCAGTGCAAGGGGTGGAGGTTCAATCCCTGGTCAGGGAAGTAACATCCCACATGCCCTGATATGCGGCCAAAAAAGTATTTTAAAAAAAAGAGTTCCTTTTAACACCTAAACACTGTTAGGAAGTCTGGCTTAAGCCGAGAGGCCTGTGTTCACTCTCTTTTGTCAAACACTATTAAAAATTTCCCTTTTAAAGCTGACACTATATGAGTTTGTTGCCAGTGTAGGAGTTCAAACACATCACTAATTTTCTGTCCCCCAGGAAAGTGAATTGGTTTTAATTGGGCTCCAAGTGTTTACACCACCATGTTCAGTGGCAGGTTTACAAGAGAGATCTAAGACCTGAATGAAACTGGGGCAATCTTGCAGAAAATACAGTTTCATAGGTTGAGGATAGGCCTGAGAGGCTCTTTTCCTTTTTTTTTTAAAATAAATGTCAGATTAACTGGCTTTGTTTTACCAATAAAATGCCTCAGTAGAATAAAATTTAACTGTGGAAATTATAGAGCTCAATATTCAATCCATCAATGATTTTTTAAAGAGAAATGCACTATTTACCTAAAGCCACTTAGGTGTATTCATTGTAGAATTGCATTGGTTGGGTTTTATTTTTCTAAATTCTTGACAATTTAAAGGGTGAATTTTGATCTGCAGTGCCGAACGGCCAATCTGGACTTACTTAAGATTGGATGACAAAGTGATGTGACTTTGTTGACAGGATATCTGCCAAATGGAGTGTAGCGTCCAACAGGGTTTCTTGGAAAGGGCATTATTCTGCAATACGGGAGGCAAGTAGGCTCTGGACCGTTAGAAACAGCTGCATAAAAACTTCTACCTGTTTTGAAGCTGGCCTCCCAGTGATCAGCTGGGTGGGTGCTGGGGAAGCAGATTTTTAACAACAGGTTGTCCTTCCCTGTCATTGTATTTATTTTGAGAAGAAAGATAAATAATTGTCTGTTACCTTCCCCTATCAGCCTTCTGGTTAAAGTTTCAGAGTATGCAAGCATCACCATGAACCAAATGCTTTACAAACTATCGCATTTGTGAACTTAATGAAATGGTCATAATTTATGTAAATATGTCTTTTAAGTGATGTTGGAGAGTTGTGATT